GGGGGGGTTGGCCCATGTGGAGGCAAAGATGCGTGAGGCAAGGTTAAGATGGTTCGGACATGTTAAGAGGAGAAGCATAGATGCCCCTGTCAGGAGATGTGAGAGGTTGGCCTTAGGAGGTGAGAGGAGGGGTAAAGGTAGGTCAAAGAAGTCTTGGGGAAAGGTGATCAGGAGAGACATGGCGCAGCTTGAGCTAACAGAGGACATGACCCTAGATAGAAGGGTGTGGAGGTTGAAGATTAAGGTAGAAGGTTAATAGGCAGCGTGCGTTTCCCTTTGTCTTCTCTAGCTCGATAGTATTAGCGATAATACGTTACCCTTTTTTCCTTAGTTTGCTATATTCGCATGTCTTGTTCCGTTGTTACTTGCCATCGGCAATTCCGTAGTTTGCTAGCAATACTCGGTTCATATTCTCGTTTGCTGCCTTGGAATTCGTTTTCTTAATATGTTATCTTGCTATTACTTGTTATCAGTACCCCTTTCATTTTCTCTGTTGCTATCTTCGATTTAGTTTTCAAATTATTTGTCTTGCCATTACTTGCTATCAGGGCTTCTCTCACCTTCTTTAGCCGAGGGTATATCAGAAACAGTCTCTCTTCCCTTTTAGGGTAGGGGTAAGGCCGCATACATCCTGCCCTCCCCAGACCCCACTTATGGGATTATACTGGTTGTCGTTGTTGTTGTTGTTGATATATATTTGTAATCCTTGCAATACCCAAAACTAAGAGTTATGCAGGGGCGGATTTAGGGAGAAATTATGGGGCACGTGAACCCATGCTCCATGAAGGTTGAATGGTGCACTTGGTCGTAGATTGAGTTGTTTACCAAGAGGAAGATGGATCAATACCCACTTAATACAATTATTTTTTTAATAGTGTACCCATGTACTAGAAATCCTAGACCTAACTTTGAAGTTAGGGTCATATTCTGTAATTACGATTTTATTATATATGTTTTTTTCACTCCGTAGAAAAGTAATTTTACGGCCTAAGAACTTATGACCTTTACCAAAATTATTCTATTTTAAGTTGAATTTCTCTTTATTTTTTTATATATTTTTAATCGCTCTAAGCTAGCGTTTGGCCATAGATTCCAAATTTATTTTGAAAAATCTGATTTGGGTGAAGTCTGGTTTGAAGATGAAAATGTGTTTGGACATACGTTTTCAAAACATATTTTCCAACTTTATTTTGGAAAAACATGTATATAATTCCCAAGTTTTGGGATTTTGGCCCAAAATCAGCTCAATAGCTTATTTTGGGATTTGAGATTTGAGATTTGGAATTTGGCCAAAATATGGGCAAAATTTATGGCCAAACAAGAGTTTTGAAAATAAATCCCAAATTTATTTTGGCAAAACTCATGGCCAAACGGGGCCTAAGAATATTTTTTTTGTTATTTTAATAGTAGCAAAAGTGCTTCTCAAAATTTAGATAGTCGTAAAAAAGCAAGCAGAAAATAAAATTAAAATTAGTAGGCTATGATACAAATCTACTGTAGGCTAGTAGGCGCCACAATTGATTTGTCCCAATTTTCTAGAAATGCCATTAACTCCACCTAATCAAACCGTACATCCAGCATATTTGCTGCTCCCCCTTCTCCTCTTTCATTTTCCAACATATTTACTGACTACTACAGTATTCAAAATCAGGCATTTTGCTCCTTTTTCACCTCTCCCCCTTACTCTAATTCAAGCAATATAATCTCCGTCTACCTTTTCCTCAATCTCAATCCATCCCTCCTAAAAACCCTAAAGATAAAGAATGAAATCCATTTAATTCCCTTTAAAATTCAAATCTTAGCTGAATATCGACATAGTTTTGTGACTTCAAATCAGTTTTAATTAAATCAACAAATTGTCACTTAACAAAGGGGCGGAGGTAGACGGAACCCTAGAAATCGACGAGCGAGGGGGAGGGAGTTAGGGGGGAAATGCCAAGCGTGGCTGTGAAATTATACAGTGTGTTCTTCAAATTCATGTTAAAGCATCGGTTGCAAAACCGAACCAATGCCGGCGGAAGCTCTTACGGTGTCACATCGCGTCCCGATGAGGAATCAATTGCAGCTCCAAATCCTGTTTTCACCGACGGCGTTGCCACCAAGGACCTACATATAGATCCCACCACCTCCGTTTCTATCCGAATCTTCCTACCCGAGACTTGTCTCGGCTCGCCCGATTCCGATTTAAGGGCACAATCTAAATCTAGGGTTAAGCCTTCCACCAGATTACCTGATTCAGGATCTGATCCACGTCGAAACAGCTATGGTGCTGCTACCACTGATAATGTAACCGACACGCATTATAAAAATGGCCATAGTTTCAATCATAGGAGAAATAGCTATGGATGTAATGCGGATGATCTTGCTTTGAAATCTGAAAATGGGGTTTATAGAGGATATTCTCCAGCTAGTAAAAAATGTAGAAAGTTGCCTGTGATGTTACAGTTTCACGGTGGGGGATTTGTGAGTGGGAGTAATGACTCGACATCGAATGATTTCTTCTGTAGAAGAATCGCGAAGCTCTGTGATGTTATTGTAATAGCAGTTGGATACAGGCTAGCACCTGAGGATCGGTACCCAGCAGCGTTTGAGGATGGGTTGAAGGTGCTACATTGGCTGGCGAAGCAGGCTAATTTGGCTGAATGTAGTAAGTCGTTGGGGAACAGACGTGGTGGAGGTGGGGATATGAAGAAATCTGATAGTCACGGGCACATAGCGGATGCCTTTGGAGCATCAATGGCGGAGCCTTGGTTGGCTGCTCATGGAGATCCGTCGAGGTTGGTTTTGGTCTTATTGTCTTATTCAATAGTTGTTGCCTTAGTTTTAGATGTGGATAATTACCTGTGTCAGTAATTGGTTGATCTGTCTTGAAGTGTGGGAGCATCTCATCTAAAAGCTTAAGCTATCAAAGATAACACATTTTGTTATTTAGTGAATTATTTCTTCAACAATCTGAAATGTGGTCACAAGTGTAGTTGTGAAGAATGAAAAGTTAATATAGCAGAATCTGATTTTGAATAGTGGAGTGGGAATCCGTGTTATTAGGTATCCATATTATTAGGTTAGGACGTTGCGATACTATCTGTCCAAAGTAGGTGCAGCGACTAGGAAGGGCCAAACAGTACTTAAAAAAAAAATTACAAATTCTTAATTTTGGGTCTCATGTCTAGTGGGATTTTTACCTGGTAAATTTCTTGCTTTTTCTTATGATGTAATGTGGTTACAAGTTGAATTCCCACATTACAAGTTGAATTCCATAGCTAGACAGGTGCAATGTGTCTTATAAATGGGTCATTTTTCTGGTAGTCCTTAGGGAAATATCAGGAGATACAATGCTAAATAGCTATATCCTTTCCTGGCAGGGAAAACAATTTATTAGAGGGTTTTCCATGTGCTATTTTTTCCTATGATCTTCTGATTGTGTTAGATACGACTGCCAAATTTAGTTTGTAAATAGAAATATTTTTGATGTTGGTTCGGGTTTGTGTCTTTCAGACTTGTTTTGAATGCTTTGTGAACGTTTCTCATTTTGTTGCATAATTTGATGATTTATTTAAAGATGTTGCCTGATTCTGTTATTTCCGAATCTATATCATTGATGAAATAAGCTTATTATGGTCTTATTCTTTGGTCATACCATCTTGAGTCCCAATATAAATGACCTTTATTCTTTCGCTCATCCTAAAATGATAAATTTAGATTGAATTAAGCTAATACTGTATACTTTATTGAATTTGATGTAAAATCTTTTTGTGAAACAACTTATTATCCAATTCGAGATTTAATGAGTGGAGTATCCAGAGCCTTATATAACCCCTCTAGATATAATCCCCTTTAGAATCCTTACACAATCCATGTGGGGAAATTGTATAACTCAACACCTTCTAGCACATGTAACTAGATACTTTGGCTCACAGGTCGACTTGAAAGTAGAGTTTCTAATCTGAGAAATGGTCTTACCAAATGTTGGCTCTATTACTGTGTAATAAAGAATTTGAGCATCCAAATCCAAAGCCCAAAGCAATGGGTGGAGTAGTACAAGACCTTTCTAGATTGTTTTGAAAGCCCTTACGCAACTCATGTGAGACAATTGTATAACTGAACACGTTCCAACTCTATTAATTGAAGGTTAAATATGTTCAATAGGATATCACAATTCACAGGTACTAAAACTAGAATTTGCCAATAATTAAGGGACCAAATTAGCAATGTTCTTTTTACTATTCTTATTACAACTTATTATAGTCTATGTTGTATTGGAGAGTATCGGTTTGACCACTATAGTCTAAAGTAAGACACTGTCTGTGGATGGTATTTCTCGTGCTGCCAAACTTCTAGATTTATCTCTTCATGTTTGCATCCTTGCTATTTAAGGCAGATCTGCCAGCTCTTCCTCCTTTTTCGGTTTCTATTTTTAAATTTTAATAATGACGAGGCTAGTGTCTGTCCTTAACCTGCAAGTGGTCTAGTTAGAGAACCCATTAAGATCAAATGACATAGCACCTTAGAGGGTAATGTAGCATGCCTCATGGGGTATAAATAGAGCAGGAGTCTGCAAGGAGCCAAGAGCTAATTCTCTGGGGTGGGACGAGGCTATAAGTCACATGGTTATTAAGTTCCATGTGTCATGGAATGAGGTGGATACAGCTGGTAGGTTTGTGTTTGCTTGATGAGTTACTTGTGCTGGACGTCTTGACATCCGTAGTTGAATGAAGTTGCTTTCTAATGTTCTGGTTCTCTATAGTTACCCTACACGCCTACATACTACTTTCTTATGCTTTTACCATGACAGGCTAGATCTCCTATGCCTCCTTGTTTCTCTGCGATGTTAGATATAATTAATAACTTCCTTTTTTTAATTTTTTTTTGTTTGTTTTTATGTGTTCGATTAGGTGTGTTCTCCTTGGAGTGAGTTGTGGAGGAAATATAGCTGATTATGTAGCCCGGAAGGCAGTAGAAGCAGGTAAGCTTTTGGATCCAGTGAAGGTGGTGGCACAGGTCTTGATGTATCCTTTTTTCATTGGAAATGTTCCAACTCATTCCGAGATAAAGCTAGCAAATTCCTATTTCTATGACAAGGCTATGTGCATACTTGCCTGGAAATTATTTTTACCTGAAGGAGAGTTTGACTTGGATCACCCTGCTGCTAACCCACTAGTTCCTGGGAGAGGAGGACCTCCATTAAAGCGAATGCCCCCAACTTTAACAATCGTAGCAGAGCATGACTGGATGAGAGATCGGGCTATTGCTTATTCAGAAGAACTCCGGAAAGTAAATGTTGATGCTCCTGTTCTTGAGTACAAGGATGCTGTTCATGAGTTTGCTACTCTTGACATGCTTCTCAAGACCCCTCAGTCTCAGGCTTGTGCTGAGGATATTGCTATCTGGGTTAAGAAGTACATTTCACTTCGAGGTCACGAGTTTTCCTATTGAGTTGGACAGATGGTCTTGTATAGCAGCATCTTTGTGACAAACGTTCCTTGCGGTTTGAGGTTCACCATATATGGCCTTTAAGTTCCATCGCACATTCTTTTTTCCTCGGGATGTTTCTTTTGTAAAATAGATGTCACTTGCCAGAAACTAGGGTTTAGCTGAGTATTGAGCCACGAATTCCTTTTATTTGAGTTAAGCATGTATGTTATCCTTGTAAACATTTTTCTGTTGGAGTGAACAACGGAGATCGATGTTCCCGATGATGTCTTTATCAAATCGCACAAGCGTAACTCCTGGTTTTGAGTTATTTTCAATGTCATTGAATTTGATTTAACATTCCAACCAATTAACAAAAACTAAAGAAGTGAATGTTTGCATTCCTTGGGGAGATAACGCACACTAACTACTCTTCTTTGTGAAAATATTTAAACGTTTTCTTTATTTAATTTTCGAGATGATTAAAATTTAAAAATATGCTATTTCACCAATTTGATATGAGGAAAATAACGACTAATGGACACGGTACCTTTTTTTTTTTCCTTTTCTAAACATTCTTAAGTTAGAAATATAAACATATCCAGTTTAATTAACTACAACAATTAGTCAGGTTATATATATTTAATAAGTGAAAAGTGTCAAAATCAAGAGGGAGAGAGTGTAATTAAGATAACATAAATAATATTACAGGACACAAGACGAAAATGGTAAAACATCACAAAGTAATGATGTGAAATGCTTATGTCTTAAAAATCGCTTGTGTCATCTTTCTTCATTCTTTTTATTGAGTCTACTCCTATTATTATCGGTAATAAGCACGTAAATCTCCAATATGCAAAAGAGCTAAAGTAGTACTAAAAATACCCGTAGTATCTGAAATTACAATCATTAAATTCTTTCCTTTTTAAACCCTTTCCAATTCACTCCACTTTCTTTTCTACGCCCTTTTCATTTTCTTTCTGGGTTTTTAAATCTTTTTCCCTCTCTCTCGATCTGGTTCTTGTTATGGCAAGATCCAATCGGATGAGCTGATTTTCCTGTACATGAAATAAATGGAAGTAAGACTCCAGTAGTTTCTTCCAGTTACAGGGAGACCAGTACACACGCCTTTCCTAAAATTGGATTTTATCCCCTTTTCTCTCAAGGCCTAATAATAGTAGAGTAAATAAAGCAGGCTTTTCTATTACTTTACACTCATTCTGTACCTTGTGTGTTGATTCTTGGTCGCTCGAGATTGGGAAGAGTCCAACGCTGGAAACTGTGGATCTCCAATCAGGTACATCTTAGTACTTCGTATCTTCTTTGCATAGTAGAAAGCTTCAATGCACATATACTGTTTGTAAGTTGTTCTCAAAGACCAAAAACCCCAAGACCCAGTTCAAACCTTTTGCTTTCTTGGGTGAAAGATCTGTGTAATGGAGTAAGTCGATATGTCTTGTACAATTTGAGAATGGACTTAAGTTATGTACAGTGTAATGATTTTTACACCATAGTGTAACTCAACCTGTTATAGTAGGTTATTGTCCATTTATTCTAGCTTACCAATCAATGCTTAACTAGAGTTATCTGTAAATAACTTTTAAGTGACCTGATTGTGTCGATATTTTTTATATCTTTAACACATAGAGCTTAAACTCTTCAAGAATACTAAGTTTTCTGGTCAATGTGCTAATTTATTTGGTGGGATATCGAAGGATCAAAATGAAGTGGATGGGTGGCAGTGTGAGCCAAAGCATGGAAGGTTTTAGGGCGAAATTCAGAGTGGCTGCGGTGGTTCTACTTGCATTATGGATAGGTCTAGCTGGTCTTTATGGCATGATAAAACCCATATCTAATGGTTGTACCATGACATACATGTATCCTACTTACATACCTATACCTACACCGGCAAATGTGTCGTCCACAAAGTACAGATTACATCTGTACCATGAAGGATGGAGAAAGATTGATTTCAACGATCATCTTAAGAAGCTTGCAGGGGTTCCTGTTCTTTTTATCCCTGGGAATGGTGGTAGCTACAAACAGGCAAGTTTCTTATTTATGACCTCAAATGTTTCAAAACAGTATTTCCATCATATGCCTATGTCTGTCTCAAATCTATACCTTGCTTGGACTTTTGGCTAAGATCAAGTGTAGTATCTACTCTTATTAGCTTTTTTTGTGTCAAATCTTCCATCTGGGAATGTTATTAGTGCATTACCAATTCCATTTAGATCGAACGAGGTGTCATATGTGTGCATTTAGTAATGACTCATGAGAGATGAGCAGATACAGAACATAAAATGTTGAAAGCACAGGAAAAGTCTTATATCCTTGGAACTGTTTTCTCATATGCTTCTGGCACTTTGAAAGCATAACACAAGTCAACTTTGATTCATGGATGCTAAAACTATATACTATAAAAAGTAATTCTACTTGTCTTAAAGACAACAAAAGTGATTTTAAAATGTTATATTTGTTTCTCTGCGAGTTGTGACTGCATCAAATTAAACCAGAAAGAACTAGTAATTAATGAAGTCTAAGTACATCTATATTATTATAAAAGCACGAGTGTTAGGAAGCTAAATGTTAAGAGACAAAAATATCCCTGAATTATTGATCGACTTTTTTGTCCTTTATAGTTAATATTTCCTTTATGTAGCAATTTAATAATGGGTATAAATATAATTTTGGATTAAGACTAAGTAACCTTTTTCCGTTGGGACTCAATTCATCCAAAACTATAAAATTTTCGTTCAAAGAAACAACTCCATAATTGGAAAAATTATAATATTTAGAATTATGATAATTACTTATATGAGAAAAGTTGGAAAAATAGAATTCTACGAGCACTAAAAAGACTTGTCATATTGTGCATACGAGTACTGTCCTAATTTTGCCATTTATCACAATCAATTTGTACATGAGTTGACCTGTTGTCCCGAATTATATGTTTCTTATTTGATATAACATATTATTAAAAGTAAATTGTTTTCAAATAGAAAGGGGTCATTCTTTTTGGCATGAGCTAAAAAGGAAATAAATTCACATAAATGGAAACAGGGGAGTATATTTTTCTAGCTATTATTTTGAGAGTGGCTATACAATGTCATCTTCCCTTATTATTATTATTGACTTTTGTATGTTACGTTTTCAAGAGGGATATCAATGTTGACAACAACAGTTATAGTCATAACAAAGCGTACAAAGTATTGTAAGGGAACAAACACAAAAAATATCGTATATAAAAAATCATTAGTTAAGATACGACTACATTTCTTGTTTTCTATATTATAAGTACATATATCATTCACAGGTTCAGACGATGATGTCGAATCATTTTAACTTTAAATATTATGTAAGTGTAATAATATTTGAAGATTATTACATTTTCTTTCACATACGTTCATAAAAATAATATTTTAAGTAAATTTAATTCTTGGTTCCTTAATATATATAAAGAAGTGATTGAGAATCTACGTGAAAAGTATGAATGTCAAAATTTTTAGCGATCAAACATCAACGTGCAACGCACGTTCATAGAAACTAGTGGTATATATATGTGTGAACCAATTGAACATTCTTGTTTCATGTACAAGTAAAAGATTATAATAGTGGAAATTGCTAACAAGTTATGGATCTTCCCTTTCTGTTGGGGGCTGACATCAATCAGTTGATACCAAGGTAAGCACCTAAAATGCTTATAAGCCAAAATTAGGTTGGCGTTTCAGCTTATAATCACTTTTGGTTTGTCCAAGATTCTTATTATTTTATTCCTAATATTGTTTGAATTACCTTTTTTGAAAGAAAACCCCTAACTTGCTCTTCGTTCGTTTCCACCTTTCGTCCTTCTCTCTACTGTTCTTGCTGCGACAACTGCTGATTGATTGACTTATTCTTGAAAATCTGACGTGGAGGTTGCACCTTTGCTTTTTCACTAGAGAGAGAGAGAGAGAGAGAGAGAGAGAGAGAGTGTGTGTGTGTGTGTGTGTGTGGGGGGGGGGGGGGGTCCCTGTGATTGAATATTAACTGCTTGTTATGTGAATGTAGTGGCATCATAAGATGAGTGCAAGACATGTTAATACATTCGTTGTTCTCATTTTATTGGCTTTGCTCCTGATCCTTTTCAAACACTTTTACAGGTGAGATCTGTGGCTGCAGAATCTGATAGGGCTTATCAAGGAGGTCCTCTTGAACGTAGTTTTTACCAAGAAGCCTCTCTAAGTCTCGGAGAGGGAGTAGATTTTGATGTCACCAACACTCCTTTGCCCTATCAATATACATCCATGCTTGACTGGTTTGCCGTGGATCTTGAAGGTGAACATTCTGCAATGGATGGCCGAATTCTTGAAGAACACACAGATTATGTTGTATATGCCATTCACAGGGTATAACTTTTCTTGCTCAAGTAGAATGTCTCTTTGTTGGCATTAATCTGAGGGAATGTGTTGACAATCTTTATTGCATGATTCCATAGTTTATCCAATGTAACACAGAGATGAATACATGATGCTTTCCCGGAAAAGGGAGAAGATAGATATTAAAGGTTGAATGTAAATACCAATTTGCTTAAGTTAATATGATTCACCTTTTCCTTTTTGTGTGTTTTACTATGGTTTTCTTTCTGTAGGAAATAGACTGGATTATTTGATACTATGACAGTGACAAGCTTAAAGAACTTTTTAAAGGATATCTGCAAGTCTGTAGGTTCTGATAGATTGACGATGCATGGTTAGATTTCCCATAGAACGAGAGAACTAGATCTACGTGCTTATTCTTGTCTTCTGGTTGCTTATCAACAGTAACACTAACCAGTAAGCATGGATGATGATACTTGCATTTGCTAATAAGCAAGTCTGGAGAATAAGGACATAACTTACTGGGAATACATTAATGAAAAAAAAAATATGCCGTCCTTTCAGATTGGAAGTGCTGAGACAGTTTTCTTAGAGTTGCAAGTCTATAAGTTATTATTCAAGTGCTTCCATTGCGAAAGAGAAACCATTATTTTTGCGGGTCTGTATAACTATTTAGCAGGGAAAAAGAAAGAAAAAGAACTAATATAAGAATCTAGAAATGCCGTCTAGAATTTCACGAATCCTTGCTAAGGTAAAGCTGCATAAAGCATCAAAAGTGAAAATTGAGGAATATATCAATATGATAATACCTATGAAGTTTATACTTTTCCTATCCTCATTGGAACAATGCCTAGATGATAAGCAAAGACAGATTACTTAGCTCATATGACCAGACAGATCCAATGTTAAATGTATATGTTTACAACTTTAATGCCTCGGACAATGGAAACCCCAGTAATAGCATATAGCTCAA